GCAAGGCCTGTGAGCCTGCGTTGCATTGACACACTCTACAGTGCTGTTCCCCTTCTTCCTCTTCTCCCCCTTCTTCTTGCTCTTGTCTCATTGAAACCAACCAACCAAACAACCAAAGCAAGCAAGCAAGCAAGTCCGCCCTTCAACAAGCAAACGCAGAAAGCAAACAGCAGTTGCCGCACACACGCAGCAGTGGGCGATTATTTGTGGCATCTTCCACAAATCGCCCAAACACGAACCAACAAGACCAACACAAACAAACAAGCAACAGGCGAAACGCGAATCAAGGTGCGTGTGTGTTTGAGCGGGAGGTGGCTTGCGTTGTTTGTGTGCGTGGCTGGCGCAGGGTTGGTGGAGAGGAGGGAGAGGGTGCGCGTTGTGACGGGCACTCACTGGCGGTCCTGTTGTGGGTGGTCTCGTTTGGTTCCGTGGATTGTGTGGGGCGTGGTGGGTGATGGTGTGATGGTGCACAGGTGCAAACAGACAACACGCACAGCACCGCCCACACCATGGATGTGTGCAGGGCCAAAGGCATGCAAGGCGTTGCCACGGTCGGTGAGGCTGACATATGTGCTGGACAGGCCCATGGCACGCTGACACCGTGAGTTTGGGTGAGTTCTGTCAATTGGTTTGACTGCTGTGTCGGTGCGTGTGGGTTGTGTGTTTGTGTTGAGGGAGGGAGGTGGGACGTGGCTGTGGTGGGTGTTGTGATCTCACACGCACTCCCCTGCTGCTGTGGATGCATGTGGCTCACGCACACAGAGAGGGATGATGGGCTGCATCGACCCACACACATGAGTGTGTGAACACACACACACACGCACACGCTGACAGACAGTCTGATGCCCACCTCACGGTGCGTTGCACTTGCATGTGCGTGACTGTGTGTGACTGTGTGCATGTCGTTCATGCTGTGTCTGCTTGTGATTCACACTGTGTGTGTGTGTGTGGTGGCTGCTTGCTTCCCCCTGTCTCACACACATGTGTATGTATGGATGCTGACACACACAGACAGACAGGCAGTGAGTGGGTGGTTGTGCAGACGCACATCCCCGCACAGGCAGCCAAGGCAGGCAAGGCAAGCCAGACAGGGCACACTCTTCCTTCTCTCCCTCTGCTGCCACCACCGCTGCTGCATGGGTGGACCAGTGGAAGCAAGACGTGTTGGATGACGCTGGCTGGCTGATGTCCTTTCCCTTGGTGTGTGTATGTGTGTGTGTTGCAGCACTGCTGCTGCTCTTGTTTCCCCCTGTTTGTGTCTGTTGTGTCTGTTGCGCGTTGCTGCTTCGCTGTGCTTGTGTGTTTGTGTGTCTGTTCACCACAACCACGTCGTGTGCGCCCATCACCACCGTCTGTGCTCACGCACCTCCCATCTCTCCCTTTCTTCTTCTTCTGCTCCCTTCCCTCCTCCCTCTTTGTCATCCCCACACGCACATACACACAAACACATGGACCCTTGTGCAGGGGAAGTGCATGCTGTTTGTTGGAACCCATGGCATGACACGCACAATCAAGCAAGGACACGAGCAAGCAAGGGCACAGGACAAGCAAGCAGGACGTGGGGCAGCCATAGACCACGCACCTCGTTGGAGAAGGAGGAGAGCGTGAGCGGGTGATGTGTGATGTGTTGTTGTGTGTGTTGTTGTTGTTGACAGCGTGCACGTCTCTCTCCTTGTGTCATTCTGCCTTCCTCCCCTCCCTTTCCCTTTCTCTCTCTTCTCTCTTGCCACAGCATGCACACTACTGCTGTTGTTGTTGTTGGCTGAAGGTGATGATGGCGGCTGATGGGGGGAGTGAAGCGGTGTGGCGCAGCGTGGAGCTGCTTGTTGTGTGTGTGTGTGTGTGTTTGTATGTGTTGCTTGCACTTGATATGGGGTTCTCGCTTGTTCTTGCCACGTGTGTGTATGTGCTTGCTTGCTGTCGTGTTGCTGAAGTGAAGTGGAAACATACAATGCAACATGCATGTGCAGCTGTGTGTATCGTGTGTTGCTGGTGTTGGTGGATGGTTGTGGATGGTTGCAGTGAAGTCAACACAGTGTGCGTGATGTGAGTTGGATTGGATTGGTGGTGAGCTGGGCATGTGGCTGTGGAATGGATGTTGCATGCAGGTGAGGACAGCAGCAGCAGCTGTGAACGTGGGAGTGGGGGAAAAGGATGAAGCGAGTGATGATGGCAGCGACTGGTGGCGGTGGATGTGAACAGGGCTGATGGTGAGGAAGGTGGCAGCGTGGGCTTGATGGGTTTATGATGTGTTGCAACACATGCAGCATGAAACATGAACGAGACAGGGAAAGGAAGGGAAGGGGAAAGGGAAGAAGTGGCGGCACAAAGTAGTGAACAGGGCCAAGGGAAGGCATGCAAGCACATGGAAACAGCAGCAGCAGTGGCAAGAATTGAAACAAGACAGAGGAGGGTGGTGGAACGCAGGTGAAACAGACAAACAAGGCTTGTGGTGACAAGGTGGTGACAGAAGGGACGAAGGGAAGCACGAATGCACACAATGGGTTGTGTTGTGGTGCTGTGTTGTGTGAAGTGAAGTGAAGGATGTGTGATGTTGTGTGGAGAGGTGCTGTGTGGCGGTGAGTGGATGGAAGAGAAAGAGAGCCAAGGGTGAATGAAGCATGTGGCAACAAGTGCAAAGCAACAATGCAACACATGGGATGTGGAAAGGCAAGGGAAGAGAGGAGGAAGCAAGTGAGTGAAGGGTGAGACAAAGGGACAAAGCGGCACATGCATGGATGTTTTGTGCTGTTGTGTTGTGTTGTGTTTGTGGAGGTGGAGCAAAGGGAGTAGAAGCACAAACATGCAAGCAGTAGCACACATGCATGTAGGGAGAAGGTAAAGTAGGAAAAGGAGAAGGCGATTGCAGCGAGCTTCGTACACACCTGATCATATCGCTGCTGGAGGCGAGAGAGGAAGCACAGGTGATGTTGGAGAGTGAATCCAAGGATCGAGGCAATGCTGCTGAGTGAAGTGGAGTGAAGTGAAGTTGTGAGGGAGTGACAGAGCGGTGTGTGAGTGATGGTGTGGATTGATAAAGGGTCGATTGCAGGTACGTGTAGGCATGGTGGGCGAAGCAGTGACACAGTGGCGGGTGAGTGGAGGAGTGTTGTGAAGTGAACAAGGTGGAAGCAAGGGAAGTTGTGGGTACTTGCAAGCAACACGCACAGAGCAAGCAAGCGTACGCACGAGTGTCTGCGAGTGAGTTGACGGATTGTAGCAGAGTGAATCCGAAGCAACCAGGAGAAGTTGTGAGTGCTTGCAAGTAACACAGCAGTGGGTAGAGGATTGTCGAGGAGTGAATCCAATGCAAGCAGGGGAAGTAGTGAGTGTTTGCAGACGGATGTGGTGGAGTGAATACAATGGAAGCAGGAGATGTTGTGAGTGCCTGCGAGTGAGTAGACGAATGTGACGGAGTGATTCTAATTCATGTAGGGTATGTTGTGAGTGCTTGCGAGTAACGCAGCAGTGAGCAGAGGGACTGTAGTGGAGTGGATTCAATGCAAGCAGGAGAAGTTGTGAGTGGCTGCGAGTGAGTAGAGGGATGAAGTGGAGTGAACTCAAATGCAAGCAGGATAAGTTGTGAGTCTTTGCAAGCGAGTAGAGGGATGTAGTAGAGTTAATCCAATCCATGTAGGAGAACTAACCAATGCCTGCGAGCAACGCAGCAGCACTGCGCAATCGCGTGCAAGCGTGTCTGCAGTGAGCAGAGGATTGCTACTCATCCAATCCACTTCAATCAGAAACACGTTCGCGTGCCTGCAGGCAACATTTTCACACAAACGCATGCACACACACATGCAAACGTGTCCCTTGCGCTGCTCCTCGTCGTTCTCTGCCTACTTGCTTGTCTCTTGTGCAATCACATGGAAACGAACCCCCTTCTCGCTGCTCTACTCTTCAGTTCCTCTGCTTTGCTCCTTCTTGTTTCAGCGCTGCGTGCCTGCAGGCAAGTAGAAGTGCGCACAGCGCAGTGTGCTCGCGCGCACGTGTGCCTGCAAGCCAGCCACATGGCCTTGTCCCTGTTGCTGCAGCTCATGGCATGGTGCAGTGACGTTTGCTCGCTTGCTCACTTGATCACGGGAGTAAGGAGACTGGCGCGGTGAAGTCAAAAAGGGGTGCAGAAAAAGTGCGATCATGTGATGGAAAAAAGCCCCAAAACTGTGATGAGTAGTGTCTAAACACTGCATCGCGATGCATGTGCAGCTGTGCAGCTGACGTGCAGCGAAACTAGTGCAGGTGCATGCATGCAAGCAGTGGTTGGTCACGGACCAGGGGAATCTGGGCTGTGAGCAGTGTGAAGAATCTTGATGCAGTGAAGCTGTGCGCACTTGCTAGTGTTGTAAGTTCATGGTGATGGTGCTGTTGTTGGAGACTTGTGTGTGTGTGTGTGTGTGTGTGTGTGCAGAGTGTGCTGTGTGTTGTGTGGGAGATTGTCTTGGCAAGAGGAAGTTGTGTGTGTTTACTTGAGTTGTGAAGCAAACAAGGATGTAGGATGAATGAACACTCCAACAGAAAGAAACAGAGCAGAAGACAAGAATTGTCGACAACGCAAAGTGGTGACGTGGCAGTGTTTGTTGAGAGTTGTGTGGTTATGTGGTGTGTTATGCAAGAGTATGTAACATCGAGCAACCACACAAGCTAAACACTGCACGTGCAACAGGTTGGAGGGAAATCACGTGAACATTCCAGAACACAAGAGAGGTGAATGCAAATTTGTGGTGTCGTGAAGAAGGGAGGTCAATGATGACTCAGCAGACAGGACTTGCCTGTCAACACTCCCCCGCATTGACCTACCTCTCTGTTGCGTTGATGTTCTGAAACGTGATGAGCATGTGGATGATGTCATGCATGTAGGAATGGCATGGGCAGATGTAGGTGAGATGTGAGTAAGGACGTGTGTTGTGAAACACGTTTAAGAAAATGGTTGGTGCCTGTGGTGCGCAGCCTGTTGTGGAAGGCTGGCCCGAGTGAAGGCGTGTCCTGTGGTGCGCGGCCGCTCAGAGGTCCTGACGCGGAGTCGAAGGACGTGGCGACCGGCCCGAATGAGGACGGGCCCGTGGCTGGCAGCCTGGCAGAGGACGCTGGTCGAACAGCATCGTGCAGAACTGAGCCGTCTTGGGCCGAGGGAGGATCTTCGTGAGGAGATCTGCGATCATGTGCTCCGTGGCGAGGTAGCTCAGCACAATCCTCTTGGTGTCGACGCACTCGCGGATGTAGTGGTACTTGACGAGGATGTGCCGCATGCGCGAGGCGGCGTGTTCGGCAACGCGCTGCGCCGGCTGGTTGTCCGTGTGGACGAGCGTGGGCTCGCACAGGGCGGCGCCGGTGAGCTCCTCCTGGAGTGGCGAAGG